TAACTTGCATAAACAGACAGGATACTTCCTAACTCATTCTATAAGGGCAGTATTACCCTAATACAAAACAAGACAAAAATATTACAAGGAAAGAAAACTGCAGACCATGTCTCTCATGAACAAAGACAGAAAAATCCTCAACAAACTATTAGCAAATAAAATCCAACAACATATAAAAAGAAATTTATACCATGATCAAGTGGGATTTATCTTAGGTATGCATGGCTGGTTCTACATTCAAAAATCAGTTAATGTAATCCATCACAACACTAGGCTATAAAAGAAAAATCACATGATCACATTAACACATAAAGAAAAAACATGTGACAAAATCTAACACCCATTAATGATAGAAATTCTCAATAAACTAGGTATAAAGGGAACTTTCGCAATGTGATAAAGACTACAAATAATCTGCAACTAACATCAATTGCTTTCCTATATATTAGCAATGAAAAAGTTGAATTTGAAACTGAAATCACAATATTATTTACATTCCCCCTAAAATGAAATACTTAAGTATAAATAAATATGACAAAATATGTATAAGATTGATATGAGGAAAACTACAAAACTCAGATGAACAAAATCAAACCAGAGGAACTAAATAGTGAGAAATTCCATGTTCATGGATAGGAAGACTCAAAATTGTCAAGATGTCAGTTCTTCTCAGCTTAATTTATAAAATCAATGCAATTTGAATCAAAATCCCAGTCAGTTATGTTATGGATATTGACAAACTGATTCTAAAGTTTATATGAAGAGGCAAAAGACCCAGAGTAGTCAACACAATATTTAAGAAAAAGAACAAAGTTGGAGGACTATCTGACTTCAAGACATACTATAAAGCTACAGTAATCAAGACAATGTGGTACTGGCAAAAGAATAAGACAGATAGATCAATGGAACAAGATAGAAAGCCCAGAAATACATCCACATAAATACAGGCAAACGATCTTTGACAAAAGACCAAAGGCAATAAAGTGGAATAAAGATAATCTCTTCAATGGAACTGAACAACCACATGCAAAAAAAAAAAAAAAGAATCTATACACCCTTCACCAAAATTAACTCAAAATGGATCACAGACATAAATGTAAAACAGAGAACTATAAAACTCCTAGAAGATAATATAGGAGAAGACCTCTATGACTTTGGGTATGGCAATGAATTTTTAGATATAAGACCAAACACAAAATCAATGAAAGAAGTAATTGATAAGCCGGACTTCATTAAAGGCAAAAACTTTTACTCTGGGGAAGACAATATCGAGATAATTAGAACATAATCTACAGAATGGGAGAAAATATTTGTAAAAGACTCATCTTAAAGGACTATTATTATCCAATATATTGAAGAACTCTTAAAACTCAACAATGAGAAAACAACCTGATTAAAAAGTGAACTAAAAATCCCATTAGACACTTCCCTCACCAAAAGATAATAATAATATACACACACACACGCACAACAGATAAGCATATGAAAAGATGCTCCATATCATACATCATCATGGAAATGTAAATTAAAACATAAGATACCACTGCACAGCTATTAGAATGATCAAAATTTGGAAATGACGACATCAAATGCTGCCAAGGATATGGGGCAATAGGAACCCTCATTCACTGCTGATGGGAATGCAAAATGATACAGTCACTTTGGAAGACAATTTCATGGTTTCTTACCACACTAAATATACTCTAACTAGAAAATCCAACAATTCTGCTCCTTGGTATTTACTCAAATACCCAAGTTGAAACCTTATGTCCACCCAAAAACCTAACATGGATGTTTATAGTACCCTTTTTTCATAATTGCAAAAGTTGGAAGCAACTAAGATGTCCTTCAGAAGGTAGATATATAAATAAACTGTGGTACATTCGCACAATGAAAATAATCAGCACTAAAAAAAAAAGAGCTATCAAGCCATGAAAAGACATGAAGGACATTAAGTGCATATTACTAAGTTAAATATGTACTATATAATTCCAATCATACCACATACTGGAAAAGGCAAAACTATTGAGACAATAAAAAGGTCAGTGGTTACTAGAGTTGGAAGCAGTGGAGATAAAGAGGCAGAGTACAGGGGATGTTAGGGCAGTGAATATACTTTGTATGATATATTAAGGGAGGTAAGTCATTATACATTTGTCCAAACTCAGAATGCACACCACCAAGAGTGCATTATCACACAAAACAATGGAGTTTGGGTGATAATGATGTGGCAATGCTATTTCGTCACCGGTGACAAATGTTCCATTCTGGTAGGAGATGTTGATAATAGGAAAGACTACGCATGTGTGAAGGCAGGGGTATATGGGAAATCTCTGTACCTTCCTCTTAATTTTACTGTGAACCTAAAACTGCTCTAAAAAAACAATAGTCTTAAAAAATAAATTTTTTAAAGGATTAAAAAAATAAATAAAGTTCCTTATATACCCCTCCCTTCCTGGTCCGATTTTCCCTGCTCTCTCTCCAAAACTAATATTTTGAATTTATCATTATTATTATAATGCATGTTAATATCTTTATTACATGTTCTTATGTTCTCATGTTTTAAATATAGTATCATACTGTATGCATCCTTCTGCAACTAGCTTTTCCATGTAATACTTTTTAGAATTATCTGTATTTGTAAGTTTATTAATTTAAACATTATATATTAGTCTACTTAATAGTTTATTCATTTTTCCATTGAAGGATAGGTTATTTTCACTCTGCCATTATTATAAACAATTGTGCAATAAAAATTTTTATACATACATGCCAGAGTGTTTCTAGGGTATGATCTTATAAGAGAAATTATAAGATCATAAAATATGTATATTTTTCATCTTATAATTTGATAAAATTGAATAAAGCAATTGAATCTTTTATCCTCCTACAATCAGAGTACCAGAATTTCTGCTCTCATTCAACACTTAGTTCTTGCTTAGGTTTTGCCAATCTCACAATTGAGAAATAGTACCTTGTTTGTGTTTTTCTAATAACTAGTTCATCCTCCAAAAAGAGACTGAACATCTTTTCACATTTAATGGATGTATTCTGCTTTGAATTGCCTACTCAGTCTTTTATCTATTTTTTTTTTCAACTGAGTTGTTTATCTCTTTCTTTCTTATTAAATTACAAACTTTTAAATATTTCATAGGTAACGTTTTCCCCTTAAGACTGCACTAATGTTTTATATTTATTTTGAAACAATCTTAAACATATAAAATTTTGAAAGCATAGTAAAAGAAATTGTTTTCTCTGAATTATTCCTGAATAAGTTACCTACATGATGCCTCATCACCCTTAACTACTCTAATGTGTATTTTCAAAACACAAGGACATTCTACTACGTAGTATCAATATCAGGAAATTAACACTAATACTGCCAACATAACACGTAAAAAATAAATATAATAGTGATTATTCTTTTAAAAAATAACAAAGAATTGATGCTTACAATTACTACATTAAATCATTGTATTTACTCAACAGATGATAATAAAGCTTTAAAACTATTCTTTCAATAAGAGGGCATACATTAGGATTGACAGCATATGAATAATTGCTTTCATTTTTCTCCCTATTTTTGACAACACAAGAGAGATGAGATTAAACTTCTCCTGGAAATTTAAACATTAGGTCAAACTTTCTGAGAATAATTGAGAAAAATTGAGAGTGAAATCTCCTTTAGCAATTTCTGTTTAAAACTCTCCTAGAATAGTCTTAATACAGATCTAATCAGAGGCTAGTGCTAACCTTTAAAAATCCATTTAAGATCTAAGATTCTTTTATCTCTTTTTATCTAGAGCAACTTATTTATGAATGAAATATATCCTGTGTTATAAGGTTATATATATAGCAAATGTAAAAATAATAACGGCTGCAAATAATTTTTTAGTATTTACCCATGTATTGATAATTCTGTTATTAATTCTATACAAGTGTTATTTCATTTATTCCTCAGGATAACTCTATGATGATTAGTACCTTCAAGAGAAAAATGGGAAGAAAGAAACTGGAGACAGTACATATAGACAATACTTTAGAGAATTTTTCTGTAGTCAGAAGAAATAAAATGGGTAATAAAGCTGAAGAAATAGAGTCAAGATAGATTTGTTTGGTTGTCTTTAAGCAGAAGAGGATACACTAGCATGATCATATGTGATTGGAAAGACACAGAAAAATGAAAAACTGATGAAGTGGCAGAAAGAAGGGATCTGCTAAAGTAATGGTCTTGACTAATGTGATCTAATGCAAAAGTGGAGTACTTGGTCTTTTCTAGCAGCACATTCAGTTTATTCATACTAAAAGCAGAGAAGAAAGAATGTAAGGAGAGAAATGTACAGTAGGGGTTGCTTTGATGAGTGAGAGGTACACATAACATGAAGTCTTTCCCATCTATGAAGTGTGTTATATATGGTAGTCATCATCAGGTGTGTCTTGGCAGGAAAATGGCTGCAGACTGCTAATGAAGGGCTACTCCTCTCCACCTTGAATCCTACCTTTCTTTAGTAGTTTTCTTTAGATTTTGCTATAGCTGTTATGTTCCCAAAGGTTTTATCAATTTCTATCTTCACAAGTAGCCGTTATTGCTTCTGAATACCAGAATTATCATAAGAAAAAGCCCAAGAAAGTTAGGGTAGAGATGGCATTTCCTTAAAAAAAAAATATCTTCTGTCTCAATAAGAAGTACATGTGAGGATAAGGATTTTATGGAAAAAAATATGTTCCTTTTTTTCCCTTGCATCTGTTTCCTCTGAACTAAATGAAGCTACAGTTTATAGAATTTTATCTAGAAGTTCTGAATGTACCAATTGGCCGGTTCAATTCACTGATTAGACAAAAATGTTATAAATAAATTCTGAAACATAATCTCTTCTCTCATTTTGTCTACTAAAAAATGAGTCATTAAATTGCTTTGAAACTTGACTGTTTCACATACTATTCAAAGAACTTCTCAGTTATAAATAAATAAAGAAGCTAAATATAAATCAAATCCATACCTCTCACAGCTGACTGGGAAGGTTGAGTCAAAACTTTGATATCTAATGCACTACTGATGCTTTCTTCCAAAGCAGCACAATATCCATCCACGACACTGGTAATAGTATTCTTCAAAGTTCCAAGATTATGGAAAACCTGAAGAGCTGTTCCGACTTGGGTTGGATTCTTTAAAAAAAAAAAATGGGGGTGGGTAGGATGAGAATAGATATAAACAGGAAAACAGAACCAATATAAATTTACAACTTTTACTGGTACTTGAGTAGTTACTTGGTACTTGAGCAGTTACGACAGTATTTATAAATTACTACAGACAAGAACAAAGACAATGCATTTGGAACAAATATTCTTTAGTCATTATTTGATAGAAGAAAAAATTAAAAACTAAACACATAATTTTCCCCCTTTCCCTTTTCCTCCTCCTTTAAAGGATAAAGAATAAGATAAAAAATCTGTTATATTATTAGAGCTTATTTAAAATCCACCATCAATCCCTATGGAGAGAGCCATGCTGGAACTAACAATGTTCCAACATTTGTTTAGAGATAAATAAGTGAATTCTGCATAGGTAACAGAGCTCTGACCATGAAGACTCATACTTCCTTTCTATTATATTTTATTTATTCATTCTAACTACAAATATTTATACAGTGCTTACTATATGTCAGTTTTGGCTGTAGGTGCTGAAAATACAGTAGTATACAACACCAATTAACTCCCTATCCTTATGAAGCTTATATTTACTAAGAAATATATAAAAAGTAAATCTAACGGAATATCAAGTTATGATAAATGCTATAAAAATGAAGCAGGAAATATGAAGAGAATAGAGAATAATGGGAATTATTATAGAGAGGAGTTAGCAGATGCATCTGTGAGGTGATATTTAGACAGATCTGCATGCAATGGAAGGCATCTAGGGAGAACACAGGGAAATGCAGATCTGAGTAGAGGTAGCAACAAAAGTGCTGAGGTAGAAATGTGCTTAGTAGCTATGGTGAAACAGCAAGAAAGCTGTGATGGTGGCTGGAGCAGAGTGACTCGGAGGTAGGTGATAAAGTTGATAAAGTAGAAACACTACCTAAGAGAAGATTAAAACTACAGTGATATAAATAGAATATTAAATTTGTCACTAAGTAGATGACTAAAATTATCAAGGCAGAATCTAGTACACCAACATATATTTCCAGGCCCAAATAGTTGAAATTCCTCTTTCATTTATGATTCAGTGTTATTAGAGGTATGTAGTTAAAAAGTTAAATGATTTCTTTAACGTATTTTCTTGACTATTAAGTTTATAAATAAGACAAAAGGTTATTTCTGAATTCTACTGACGTTAGTAATAGTAGATACTGCAGATGCACAGACACAGAAGCAAAGTAAAGTCAGCTTAAAGAAAACATCAGGAAACATGGTTGATGAATAACAATATCCATTTTGGAATTTTTTTAATTAAACAAGAAAAGAAAAACAAATGAACATTGTTTTAAATTATATTTTAATTTTAAAAGCTTAATTTAATATGGTTATAATAGAATTTAACATACTGCCAAAGAAAAAGGGAGAAAATAAGGTATTTCATATGAAATTATTGAGTGAAAATATGTGCTAGAGTGCTTTGCTTTTGTTGTTAGTTCCATTCCATCCAGAGTGATATTTTTTTACTTTTTAGTAGAAACCAAGAATTAAAATTAGGCAGCTATAAAGGAATTTCCCTTATCACTATTTAAGTGTCTATATAATCCAAGAAAGCATTACCTAACTTCAAATAATATTTTCAGCTTATAAAACTTGAATACTGATATATACTATAAAATTATACTTATTGCCTTTACTATCTTCAAAGGATCTGAAAAGCACAGTTTCTCAACATACAGTAATGTTTCAGTGATATTAGCTGAATGTATGCTGTAAGCTATATGTGTATGTTAATTGAAAAACGTTTAAAGTCTAAAAATTATTAACTTCTAAAAACTTTTCAAAATGGAAACATATAGCTCATTATTAAAGAACCGTCTAATATAGTAATATTTATAACTTACAATACTTATAATTCTGAATGTAATTTTAAGCTTGCCAATTAACATGACCATTTTTTCAATTAATGGCAGTTATATACATTTATCGCTTGATATAAATATATAATTTGTTAGTTGGCAAACTACAAAATAATGATTATTTGAAATAAAAATTTCATATGCATAAAGGAGTATGCAAATTATGTAAGCACAGATTTAGAAATTATCACAAAGTGAACACATCTACATAATTACCACCTAGACTGTGAAACTAAATATTATAAGTACCTCTGAATCTTGTGTGGCTTCCTTAAGTACATCTCTCCAAATACTGTCACTATCATAACTTCTAACATCAATGATTACTTTTGCCTATTTTTGAATTTTGTGTAAATGGAACGATAAAGTAAGTATCGTGTATGGCTCCTTTTAGTCAATATCTTATTTGTAAAATTCATCCATGTTGTTGTATATGGCAGTAGCTGATTCATTTTCAGTGCTATAGACTATCCCAGTGTAGAAACTTACCTTAGTTTATTTATCCATCCCACTGTTGATGTATATTTGAGTTATTTCCATTTTTTAACATATTTTAAATAATGCTATCATGGAATTTCTGGTAAAGAAGACAAATTAGATAAATGCTATGCTTGCCTCCTCTCAAGACCAATCAAAATTACCATTAAAATATAGAACAACTGTCATTGCAAATTGCCTGAAGTCTAGCTGAACAGAAGTCTCTAAAGTCATAGAGAAGAAGCCAATTTGAGACGGGTAGAAGGGGCTGAGATGCAGAACGAACTGGTTCCACACCCATGTGTGGTGGCTAAAAATCGGGAAGAATGTCTCAGATCCACCCAGAGGAGCAAGAGATCCCAGCCCTATACCAGGCTCCATAGCCCAGGGTTTCAGTGCTGGGAAGAGATGTCCCCATAATTTCTGGCTGTGAAAATCACCAGAGATTGTGGCTCAGTGAGAGAGATGAAGCTGAAGTCCCAGGCATTCCTCTTAAATGGCCCATGCACAAACGAACTTGCTGATGGACTCATTCATTCTGAGTTCCAGAGCTATGGTAGCAGCTTGAGGGCACCAGGGACATAACTGGAGTACCATTAACAGTGTTGTCCCAATGTTGCCGGCACTCCGGGGTGACGTAAGCGAAGGAGGGGAGAAGCGGGAGGGGTAACAAGCTCTGGTGCAGCTCCAGCACTCGATTTTATTTAGGAATACTGTGCCTATCATTCAACGTAGTTTCAACTTTCTGGCTCAATGACTTTTGTGCCAGTGATACAGGAGCCGTACAGATATGTTCTTGAAGATTCTGAGTCTCTGGATCCATTACTTTCAGCCCTGAGGCTGGACTTTAGTAGTCTAAAGTGCACAAGCATAGCTGTATCTCAGAAATGATTGGCTTTGGGCAGTTCAGGAGGAAGTCTCAACATCATTCAAAAAAAAAAAAAAAAGGCTGAAAGCACAAGCTTTTTCTTTCACACAGGGAAGGTGCAATTTTTCAGGTTGCTTATTGATTATATGATGAGGATTACATTGCTGTACCTACCAGATGACAGAGGCTCTATTCATCCCTCTGGTGACCAAATCAAAGTTGTGACAGAAACAAGGAGCAAAGAGCAAGGAAAAATCACCTGGGAATTAGATGACCAAGCCATACAACTAAGGAGAAATATAAGAAACCACTCTGCAAAGGCAGGAAGTAGGACAGGGCGAGGACGTGAGGTTGCCCGGTCCTGAGTGGCTGAGTGGGACAGAGGTTGCAGCAGTGGCAGTGGCAGTGGCAGCCGGCAGATGTAGATGCCTCTTAAAGGGGCTGTGTCCGCAAGCAGGTTTTGATAGTGACAGAGCTGCTTCCTGTGAGCACCAGTGTGATTCAGCTGCACAGGGGGCACCAAGGACTTACAGGGAAACACTGAGTTGTCGGAGTAGGGCCAAAGCAAGAATCGCTCTGTACAGAAGTGCCAGAGGTATCCACTGTTCCTCTGTTGAGCCCTCCCCATTCTTAGTGCACAGACTCGGAGCTGCCATTGCTGTGATGTCATCAAACTGGATAACAGAAGTCACTCCACCCAGAGGATTCCCTGAAATTCCACCTCCCCCAACTCGTGGCCCCACCTAAGCCATATTCAGGTGTATCCTCAGTGAGTCAGGCGCTCCTTGATGAACAGTGCCTAGACTCACACTGGTAGAAGCTGGCCGTGGTTTCTGGTGGGGCCTTTTGAGGCAACTATAACTATAGCATCTGTGGATTGCTTGCTGGTGGCCCTGAATGGGCACAGGTTGAAGCTCAGCTTGGCCTGCAGCTGAATCTCTCTCAGGACTGTGCCACTGGACACCTACTATACAAAGCCACACTAATAAGACCAGAAGACTTAGGAGCTTTGCTTAGTACATAGAAACAGGCACAGAAAGGCAGCCAAAATGGGAAGACAAAGAAGCAAAAAACCATATGAGAGAACAGAACAGAGATCCAGGAATAATGGAGTCAAGTAATCTAACAGATGCAGAGTTCAAAACACTGCTTATAAAGATGCTCGATTAACTTAGGGGAAGTATATATAAATTTAGTGAGAACTTCAACAAAGATAAAAAACAGAAAAAGGGAAATGGAAATTATAAAAGGGAACCAGTCAGAAATGAAGAACACATTATCCAAGATGAGAAGTATATTAAATGGAATAAACAGAGTGGATAAAAAAGAAGATCGGATGACCTACATAGAGGATGGGAAAGACAAGATCACTCAACCAGAATGGCAAGAAAAAAGAAGCCAAGACTATAATGATAATTTAAGGAGCCTATGAAACACTATTAAAGGTAAAAATATCCATGTCATAGGAGCACCTGAAGGAAAACAAGATGTTGAAGAGCTATTTGAAGAAATAATGATGGAAAATTTCTCTAACCTGGTGAGGAGGAGGAGGAGGAGGAGGAGGAAGGGGAAGGGGGAAGGAGGAAGGAGGAGGAAGGAGGAAGAAGAAAGAAGCAGCAGCTATGAACATGGGGGTGCAGATATCTTTTTTAGTTAGTGTTTTTATTTCCTCTGGATATATGCCCAGAAGTAGAATTGCTGGATAATACAGTAGTTTTCTTTTTAATTTTTTGAGGATCCTGGTGGCTGCTTTCCATAGTGGCTGT